GGAATCCAAACAGCTCAAACCTGATATTCCAGGAAATTGGACCTACCACCATGATCCTGCGTTGGGAATGAACAACAGTTTCACCGGGGCTGATGAGGAGAGCAGGTCTCACATACAAATCCATACTTATGATACTCCAAGTGTGCACCGTCAGATATCAAAGGGGATTTCAAAAGGTTTGACTAAGTTTGAGGGCTTCAGATTTGATGGAGATACTTCTAGTAAGAACACTCAAAATGTATTGGGGGAAAGAATGACTGGAAATTGGAAGAAAATGGGTGGATATACTACTGATGGATACGCTGGCATGTTCCTGGGGTCTGACCTGGTGTATATGGCCAGTACATCAACCTTGCCTATCTTAGATCCACATGTTTCATCTGATGGGACTAAACTTGCATTTGGGAAACTCAGTGAGCTTAAGGATGAAAGAAGGACTGATTCAGAGGCACAAGAGAACCATGCTCACCCCTGTTCTGGGAAATCAGATGCAAAGACTCCACTTGGGGTAGAGTTTTCACATGGAAGTTTTGTAGATCGTATGGAGGTTGTGTGCAAAGGAAAGTTTGCTATTCAAGATAGATTGGAGGGAATCCTCAGCTCATACACTGATGCTATTGATGAACGTAACTGGGCGTCCTTTCCTGTACCTGTGATTCGAAGAGTACAACCGGAGCTGGCTGGCTGGGAAATTTTCTCACAATTCACTTCTAAGAACTCTCGTACTGAACCTCATATTGCATTTACCATTTTGGCTGCTCTTTGTGGAGAATCTGCAACTATCCTTAGAAACAACACATTAATTTGGGATGCTGACAGGTATTTACGAACTACACTTGAACATTACCATCAGTTAGCTACCAAGTTGGGCTCAGGATCATGTCATTATATGTACGTTGGTTCCAATAGAGTAGCAATGAGTATTGATGGATTCCGATTAGATAGTGTTACTTCTATGATGTGCACTCAACATGTTGGATATGTTACTGAGTTTGAAGCTGACGTGAATCTGAGGCAGATCAAAGATCTCTTTCCTGGTCTCTTCACAGATGTCTTAATCGTGGGCGAAGATGTTAAGGGGCTGCCAACAGTTTGTATACTTGTTCAAGAGGAGGCTGTAGGTTTTGACTACCTGTTTCTTATGATTAATGCTGGTAAGTGGATCAAGATAGTCAAGAAAAAAGAGGAGGATGGGGAAAATGGCTCTACGGAAACATCTAGTGTCTGCAGTCAGTTAAATGAGGATATATATATTACTGGGTCTCAACACCCTGACCAGGAACTGGCTACATATACTCAAACAAAGCCAGCCTTACAAGCTGCACATAAAGAGACAAGGAAGGTCACATTTGATCCTTTTGATCTTCCAAGCGATGTTGAAACCCTTAACCAGATGGTTTATCATGTTCATGGTGGTGAAATTGCAGTGCCATTTTGTGTGGTGGGGTTCATGTTTTGTCAGATTCAAGCTTCACCCCGATGGATAGCTACAATATTAAAGTGGGGACTGAAAGTGTTGCTTGTTGCTTCCGTTTTCTGTACAACAAGTTGTTTTATCTCTGTTTGGCATGACACTAGCAAAGATTGTTCCCTCTGGAAGCTAGTCCACGGTTTCCCACTCGGCTTTCCAAGAAAGCAAGTGACAGTCAACTCTATGCCTTGGGAAGGTGAAGTTGCAGAGAGGGTTTGGTGGAGTCTTTCAATGGAAGTTGATTGGAGGGATGCTCTTGGGTGTACTCAAAATGCGGCTGAAGATGACATTCCTTCACTGGACAACATCATTGCGGTTATGGATGCAGAATCTAGGAGTAGCTTGGAGACAACTCTAGTAGATGCTACTAAACCAAACCAACCATCAGTGGAAAAATGGGCTAAGCAGAACAATAGAGCTGGAGTTTTTGATGCACTTTGTGGAAGAATAGATGTGAATGAAGTAACGAGTAAGATTCAAGTATGGGAGCTCCTTGTCCAGCAAACAGTGAGGTACTGGGAAGGAAGGGGCACGAGGATGAAGCTGGATGGCATGGCTGCTCTTACTCCCCACCTTGAGGACAAGGTGGTCGTCAAAGGGGGGAGTGATGTTAGAGACCTGGACTTAATATGTTAGTAAAATGTAATAGTGGGCTGGGCCAATTAATTAGATAGATTGAGGGAAGCCCATTAGAAAAAGAATACATAAGGTGAGCTGGGAGGAGAGAGGGGAGGGAGGGAATTATCTTAGGCTTGGGACTTGGGACTGGGAGTCGGAACCTTGTTACGACTTGGGAAATCTGTTTCGTTCTCTATCTACTTTCTGTTGTACGAACTGAACTACCGCCATTGTTACATATTGAATTTTCTCCATTATTAGCTCTCAAATTACAGTAACCTAACAGGATGTTTTTTGCAGATCACTTGATAAGACTGAGGATGTTATGAAATAAATAGACCACACGATTACCAGTCCAGACTAAAAAATAAACAGACCAAACATAAACAAACCAGATCATCCAGGAAATTTCAGTCCAATTAAAAACATACTAACTTTAGCAATAATGAATTCATGGCAGCTACTTTGAAAATTTGAGGCTCGTAAAAGAAAATGAAAGCTTTTCAGATTCATCACTATCCACATATTACGGGGTAAACACAGCTTGTGCTATCACTAAAAATTTACTAAAAGTGTTCATTTTTTCATAACATCATCTCTGCGTAAAATTCTATTTGGCCTAAGACACTAAAAATACAGTTTTCTTCTTACCGCAGTACTCCCTACACCCCAAATTAAAACTCCCCTTTCCATATTTAGACATCCCAGATTCCCAGAATTTGACTCCCTCGCATTTTCAAGACTGAAAGAAGTTTGTTTGACCTTTCCTGTTTTTCTATATAAATGGAAATCACGTAACTTCCCTTTCTTAATTTATTCATTCAGGGTTGCCCATTTTTTCTGGAGGCTTACTGTGGGACTGAGGGAGTATATAATATAAATACAAAAATATAACCATTAAAATGTATTACAAGCAAATGAAATAAAAATCGGAAAGAAATTACTCTAGCAAATCCTTATAGAAACTATAGGGTTAATAGAGGATCTGTAGACTAGTGTTTCAGATTCAGAATTTCAAACATCTAAAATTTCATTGATGATAAAATAATCAACTAGACTTGCTAGTTTTATTTCAAATAAATATGGATAATTTGAACCAGCTATGGTCTTTGTTGTTGGAGAATAGCTTATAAGGTGGGAAGATGGAGCGTATGAAAGAAGAATACCTGGATGGATGAGGAAGGTTGAATTGTCGAATTGGAGGGGGCAGAAACCGAAGGGGGGACGTTTCTATGAGTAGTAACTGTAGAAAACATTTGGGCCATACCGCCCATACGTTAACCAGCCCAATACAATGAACTATGGTACTTCCTCCATCTAGTCTAGTTTTAAATTCTCACTGACCTAGTTTTACAATGGCAACCCGCAACCCTGAATGAATAATTAATATTTTACATCAAGATTTTGATTTCATTTCAGTTAGTTTTTTATGGTAATCTTCAATTCATTTCAGTTAGTTTTCATGTCATTGACATAATAGTCGGTGACCAAAAATGGAAATAACTCTAATTAATATTATCCTGTGTTTCTTTTTTATCGCAACATGTTGAATTTTACACTATTCACATGCTATACTTTGACTACATTTTACGTTATTATTTTATGAAATTTATTTTTTAAAAAAGATATTGTTCAATTCAGCTCATTACAAATTTTCAAAATCTGATTTTTAAAAGTTTTTACTAATAGAGATTAAGATATACGGAGTAATTATGGTCAAAGATGTGTGTTGGCAAATGTGAAATGTTGACCGTTGCAACTAAAAAAAATGGATGAAGTAATATAGTTAGCCAATTGATATACTATTATTAGAATTTTTGATCGTCAACTAGCCTTGTTTCATATCATAAATTTCAGGATCATTACATCAATCAAAAGAAAAACAAAACCGACACCAACTAAATTCCAACAACTACGACTGTAAACCCTATGATCAGACTTAGTGACGGTCACCCTTGAAAGAGCAACGCGAATCGCTAACCATGTAGCAGGCTTGACACAGTCATCCTTGTTCCCATAGATCCAAACATACTCAATGACATAAAAAAGACTGAAATTATATTATCATCACAGTTTTATTATCATACGTTAAAATTGATTTTTTCATAACAATATTATTGTCATCGATTCTAAATTAAATCATAGACTCACTCTCTATTCTAAAAATTGTTCTAGGTGTCCGACTAGTCCCCGCCTAGGCGCTAGGCGGTGGTCGGGCGCCCCGATTTTCGTCTAGGCGCTCCGACTAATTGGTTTGCCGTCTAGGTGAATAAGTCGGCCGCCTAGAGCGCCTAATCGGTCACCTAGGCCGTCTAGATTCGCCAAACGTTACTTTACTTTTTAATTTTCTAAAGGCTGGTTTGCAACCACTTTAAAAAAAGCACTTCTCAGCTTTTGGCTTAAAAAGCACTTATTTACCAAACACTACCAATTTTTTATTTTTCTCGGCTTTCGTGTCAAAAGTGTTTTTCCACTTTTTATACACCAAAAGCACTTATTTTACCAAACACTACCAACTTTTACTTTTCAAAATCACTTTTTTCTCAAACACTATCAACTTTTACAAATAATCACTTTTTCCAAATCACTCCAAAAGTGTTTTTTTTAAAGCAGAAGCTGTTGCAAACAGTCCCTAAGCATTATACGTACTTTAGCTTTAGCCATGGATATAACGAAATAAAGTTGTGAATTAAGATAAAACTATATATGTTTCCATATATACCTAAATTTCATCATTATTTATATTTATAACATAATGAAGTTAAGTGATTAGTCATATACTACGTATTACGTATGATTAACTGTGATAATTCTATTATTGATGTTCGTTAATGTATATTCATATATGTATTTACACACAAAACTACAATATTACTTATTATATTTATGCAAAAATATAGATAAAAATGCAATTTATTTGTCTATGACTAGTCCCCGACTAGGCGTCCGCCTAGCCGCCTAGGCGCTAGGCGCTGGGCTGACGCCTTTTAGAACATTGGACTCACTCAGTGTCTCAAAAAATCAGGTTCACTCACTCACCTAAATTACTTATCAAAGTGCATTGAAATTACTCTCTATTGTCTAAAGGGGAAAAGGACGTATATACCCCTGCACTATAGGGCTGGGAACATATATACCCTTGTTAAAAATTTTGGAACAAAAAACTGATAAAACTAAAAATAGGGTACACATCTACCCCTGCTCACGTTTTAAGACATTCCCGTCAGGCCCAAACTAACCTAACGTTAATTTCTATCCTTTAGTTCTTCCCGCCTTCTCCATGTTCTTAGCGCAACCGCAAACCCTTGGTAGAGAAGAGGAAGATGAAACATGAGTATCCTAAATCACTGTACTGAGAAACAACAGAGGTACGTACATAGCAAATTAGTTGATAAGGCTATGTCTTTAACTGATTATTATATGTAGAAATCAAATATTCAGATTTGTGTCCAAATCAATTTTCTTTGAGGAAATAGCTTTGTGCCTGAATTTACTCTTGTTTTTCTAGTTTTTGAAACTTCTAAATTGTAAAACTATGTCATCCCTATTTCCCTGGAATAGGTTTCTTTCTTGATTATTTTTTCAAATATATAATTCTTTAGATCAATTGTTTTCTTTATGAAACTGTTACATGAAAATAAAAGTGAAGTGTTGGGCTTGGTTAGCATCGGTGATAGAGATCTAGATGCACCAAAGATAAATAACAGAAGTTGCACATAAAAAATGTTTTTTTTGTATGCATATGCACTACCTTTAAAACCTTCAATATAGATGTGTATGGATGACCTATACTATATGTTGATTTCTGTGAATTAATTTGTTGCAATGTTTTTGACTTTTTAGGATAGACTGAAATACTATTTTTAGTATGGATTGTGAACTCCTTGTTGGTGAAGGAGGAGACCTTATTCCCTTAGAATGGGAAGAAATTGATAACCTTCTAGACTTGGGCACTAGAGAATCAGAAAATATATATATACTAGGCCAAGAGGCTAAAGGTCAAATTCTAGCAGCAGTAGGAAGAGATGGTAATGATCAAATGTACCCTATTGCTTGGGCAGTGGTTGGGAAAGAAAACAAGGACAACTGGAAATGGTTTATATTCTGGCATGCTCAAGAACTTCATTTAGGTGATGGGTCCAAGATCACCCTCATATCTGACATGCAAAAGGTATTTTTGGCAGTTTCATATTTTAACTTAAAATAATATAATACTAATCTTAATAAATTTTGCAGGGTCTAATTGATGCAGTCAAAATTGTGCTACCTATTGCTGAGCATAGATTCTGTGCAAGACACATTTTGGCCAATTGGGGTAAGAGGTGGCATGGGGAAGAACTGAAAAAAAGATTTTGGATTTGTGCTTGGTCAGAATTTGAAGAGGAATTTAAATATAATTTATCCAAACTTGGTGAGGTAAATATGATTAATTTCTGGTTTTGTGTTGAATTGGGAATGTGCCCTGGAGTAAATTGTAACTATTTAAGTGAACTTTTAAGGTTTGCAAGAGTGCTGCTGAGGACTTGATGAGGTATAATCCTCAATATTGGTGCAGGGCATATTTCAGTGCTAGGTGCAAGTCCTTTATTGTTGATAACAACACAACTGAAAGCTTCAATTCCTGGATTATAGATGCTAGGCACAAACCTATAGTTTCTATGTTAGAAGATATTAAAGTGTTATGTATGACAAGAATTAAGGACAATAAAGATGCTATAAAAAATTGGTTCAATGATTGGTCCCCAAGAGGTGGATAAAGCGCAATGCAAATGTTGGCCGTTAACAAAGAGGTGGGAAGTGGTTGCAGGATTATATTTAATGGAGAAGAAGGGTATGAGATAGGAGAGGGGGATGATAAGCACATTCTCAAACTTGATAGGCAGCAGTGCTCTTGCAGATCTTGGGAATTAACCGGCATCCCTTGTCCGCATGCCTGTTGTGCCATGTTTCATAGCAAGCTGGACCCCTTGAATGTATTAGAGAAGTTGTATCACAAACATACCTATCTTAAATCCTATGAATTCCCACTATAACCAGTTCAAAGGAAAAAGTTCATGCGATGTGAAGAATTCTTTCCAATTCTCCCTCCACCATTTACTAAATTGCCTGGAAGACCTCAGAAGAAAAGAATGAGGGGGAAAAGTGAGCCACTAGGAACTTCTTCAACAAAAATGACCACAAAAGGAAAAAAGCTAACTTGTAGTTTGTTTTGTGGTGCTGGTCATAACAATAGGACTTGTCCAAATAAAAATCAAGTATACCTCATGTATATATGTATATATATATGTATACAAGGGGCATATTATATATCAACTATTAAATAAAGTGTTTCTATTTTACAGGATCAAACCCGTCCAGGTTCATCTACAGCAGATGCTGCTGCTCCTACACCTATTTCAGTTCCTACTCGATCAGTTAGACCTTCCAATTCTTCAACTCAAACCACTGGATTTGGAGTATTTATAGATCTCAACACTGGAATGCAAACACTCAATGTAATAATCTTTCAAATCCCTTACTAATGTATGCTTATGAGCTATTAACCACATTTTATTCATTTATGCAGCCAGGTATGTCAAGCAAAATTGTCATATCACGAGGTACACCCCTATTGCAGACAATAGTATGTGATGATCCTAATGTGGTGACAAGGTTTCCACTCCCTAAGGAAAAGGCTTTGAGGAAGAAAAAAGCCAAACAACCAACTGGGGTGCAATTAAGAGAAATTCAGCTTTGCGGAAATGGTGCTGATGTTAGGGCACCTTCCCAATTACCATTTCAGGTTCCAGGAATGCAATTTAGGGGAAAACCTGTAATAATTAAAAAGTATTTACAACAATAAAGAGACAAGAAAGCTGCACAGTTGATAAATACTCCTAAGATCTATGAATACTCCTAAGATCTAGATTGAGTAGTTTAGAGTTGAAGTACTATGTAATCTTATTTTGCATACTGGATCAAAACTCCTCTTGGCCATTGTTTTTGCTATGCTTTTTTTTATTAGGGTCCAGTTGTTATGCCATCAACTTAGTATATTGAAGTTATTGTATTCTTATTTTGCATATTGGATGAAACAGAAAACTCATTTTGGCCATTGTTTATGCTATAGTTTTTTTTTGTTAGGGTCCAGTTGTTATGCCATCAACTTAGTATATTGACGTTATTGTATTCATTTGCTGCTACTTTCATCCTTTTCTCTTCGAAATATGTATTTAATATTGATTTTGTATGAATGGTGAGTTGGCAATATCATTGGTGAAGTTTATGATGTTGTATTAGGTGTGTAGGATATATTGAAGCTATTTTTATTGTTACCCCAGGTGGTTGCTATATTTTTATCGACATAATGTGTTTACATTTCACCTACACAATATGAAACTATTAGATGCTAAAGGTTTTGTTTGAAAAAATAATGGCAGATTTAATGGCCCTTACTTTCACTTACATAATACAACGTAAAGCCTTTTACTTTCTTATTTGAGCTTTAATGCCTTGTTGCGGGTCACTCCAGGTCACTCCACTTGGTGTATTAGTAAATATAACTATTAATATATATAAACTAGAGCAGGTTTAGTTTTAACAGCAATAGTATATTGCAAGTCTGATTTTGCCTTTTGACAATAGCTTAATATGTGTTATGTTAGCTCATATCTGCAATGGAATTATCAACAGCATGTACTGATCAATCTAAACAACATGGTCTGAAATTATACAATATTATAGTAGTGGAGTCCCAATAGATAATAATAATAATACAACTACAAATTCATTATAATTACTAACAAGTACTTTAACAATACATCCAAGAACATCTTTGAACATCTCACAATTTCATTAGAAGGACAACTATCATTACTAGCCAACTAACCATAGCAAAAATGTATGCCATCTTTTTTTGCTTCTCTAGTCTGGTTTTTTCAGCCAATGAAGCTCCCTCTTGAGTAGCATTTTTCTTCAAACTTTTTAATTCACTCCACAATTATTGTATTTCTTGTTCTACCAATGTATCTGGCATTTTGACTCTCAATAAGTTCAACCTCTTTTTCTCCATTTCTAGCGTGTTTCTTTCCAACTCCATCTTGTTTATCAAATCCTTAGCCCAAACCGGTAAAGCCTCGTCATGCCATTCAAAATATCCACATCCACTCTCCTGCAAATTTAATATTTATTCACTATTCTGTTGAAATTATATACACACAAAAATACACTAACAAAAAGTCAACCACAGTTATTCCAGGAAAGTAATCTCATACAAACAAAAAAAAATCATACCCTATAGTTTGTTCAACCGTAAAAACGACGTCCAGGATTATTTTGAATCTCCGATTTGAATCTTGGAGCTGTTTGGCCACAAAAAACAGCTTTTGACTTAAAAAACACTTATCTTACCAAACACTACCAATTTTTACTTTTCTCAACTTTCGTGTGAAAAGTGTTTTTAATTTTTTCTATTACACAAAAAACACTTATTTTACCAAACACTACCAATTTTTACTTTTCAAAATCACTTTTTCCTCAAACACCATCAACTTTTACTACTAATCATTTTTTCCAAAATCACTCCAAAAGTGTTTTTTAAGCAGAAGCTGTTGCAAACACTTCCTTAAAAGCTTTGTCTCGCATAGAAAAGACATGATAATTGATGACTCAGAGTAAAATATTAATATTCACAAAAGTTTTTTGAAACGGGACTCTTTTAATCTTTTATAATTGGGATGGCGGGGATACTAGCTAGTTACACACTTACACTACATAACTGGCATAACCTATGTGAAAAAATATACAGAGTACTAGTTAAAATCATCAAAAAATGATAATGTGTCGCCAATTATGGTATTTGTTTCAAATTTATTTTTGAATTAATATTTATAAATTTTTATGTATAAAATATTATTGACTATTATATATTTAAAAATACATTCTTATGCTAGATCAAGAAAGTACTTTTATTATGTTGTGCTAAGCAAGTAGAAATATCGAGTCACATTGTAGCCCCATTATCCAAATTTTTTTTATACTCTTTTTTATATACTCCCTCCGTCCCATTTATATTGTCCCGTTTTACCTTTTCGGGAAGTCCCACTTAAATTGTCTTATACCATATTTGGCAAAGTTTGTGTGACTCTAAATCATTCTTACTTTATTCTTACTTTATCAATTAACATCAATCACACGAACCCACTTTTCTTAATAACCGTGTCACCCTCTTCCGTCTCAATATAAATGGGACAGAGGTAGTATTAATTTAGTGTAACATGTAACACATGCATCTTCTCGGAAGAATGTAGTTTGACTTAGAAGCTGTTCCGTTCGTCTTAGGTGCTGTTCTGTTCGTCTTATTCTTATTACTTATTGCTTATTCTTATTTTATTCAGATCAGATCAGATCAGATCAGAAAAATTCAGATCAGATCAGATCAGAAAGATTCAGATCAGATCAGATCAGATCAGAAAGATTCAGATCAGATCAGAAAGATTCAGATCAGATCAGAAAGATTCAGATCAGATCAGACCAGATCAGAAACATTCAGATCAGATCAGAAACATTCAGATCAGATCAGAAAAGTTCAAACATGATTTATCACTTTTATAATTATATTAATTATTATTATTAATATTGTTATTACTATTATGATTATTATTATTGTATAATTATTATTAATATCTTAATAATAATATGATAAAGAAATAAGATATTAATAATAGTTATAATATTTTAATATAATAATAGTAATATAAATGCAATTATTAAGAAGACTATTATTATTATTATTATTATTATTATTATTATTATTATTATTATTATTATTATTATTATTATTATTATTATTATTATTATTATTATTATTATTATTATTACAATATAATAATAATAATATGATTAATATTATTATAATATTATATTATAATTATATGTAATTATAATTATAATTATATCTATAATTAATTATAATTATAATAATTATAATTATAATTACAATCATAATTATAATTATGATTATAATTATAATTATAATATAATATTATAATAATATAATACTAATAATAATAATAATCGTATTATTATTAATATATTGTAATAATTATATTAATATAATAATATCGTTATGATAATATTAATTGTATTTATAGTACTATTATTATATTATAATATTATAATTAATGTTAATATAATTATAATTATTATTAATTATAATTATAATAATTTTAGTTATATTATTATATTATAATATTATAATTAATTTTAATATAATTATAATTATTATTAATTATAATTATAATAATTATAATTATACTTATAATTATATTATAATTATAATTTATGATTATAATTATAATAATATTGATAACTATAGTTACAATTATAGAGATAAATATTGTAATTATAATTACAATTATAATTACAGATATAATTATATCTATATTTATAATTAGTGTAATAGGTATAAATTTTTTCATTTTAAATTTAATTGTAATTTTATTATTATTATTATTATTATTATTATTATTATTATTTTAGTTACGATTATAATTATAATTTTATTTAAATTATATTTGTAATTGCAATTATAATAATTATAATTATAATTTTAATCATAATTATAATCATAGAAACATTCAAATCAGATCAGATCAGAAAGATTCAGATCAGATCAGAAGGATTCAGATCAGATCAGAAACATTCAGATCAGATCAGACCAGATCAGAAACATTCAGATCAGATCAGAAAGATTCAGATCAGATCAGAAAGATTCAGATCAGATCAGATCAGACCAGAAAGATTCAGATCAGATCAGATCAGATCAGAAAAATTCAGATCAGATCAGATCAGAACTTAAAAAATTCAGATCAGAAACATTCAGATCAGGCGAAGAGAACAGCTTCTTAATCTTATTACTTATTCCTTAATCTTATTTTATTCAGATCAGATCAGATCAGAAAGATTCAGATCAGATCAGATCAGAAAGATTCAGATCAGATCAGATCAGAAACATTCAGATCAGATCAGAAAGATTCAGATCAGATCAGCAACATTCAGATCAGATCAGAAATATTCAGACCAGATCAGACCAGATCAGAAACATTCAGATCAGATCAGAAACATTCAGATCAGATCAGATCAGATCAAAAAATTCAAACATGATTTATCACTTTTATTATTATATTAATTATGATTATTATATTATAGTTATTGTTAATAATATTAATATATTAATATAATAATATTAATAATAATAATATAATAATAATGTTAATAATATAAAATTATTATTATATTATAATAATATAATATAATATAATATAATATAATATAATATAATATAATATAATATAATATAATATAATATAATATAATATAATATAATATAATATAATATAATATAATATAATATAATATAATATAATATAATATAATATAATATAATATAATATAATATAATATAATATAATATAATATAATATAATTATAATTATAGTTATAATTATAATTATAATTATGATTTACAATGTAATTATAATTATAATCATCATTATTATTAATATGATTGTTGTTCTTGTTGTTATTTTTGTAATTATTATTACTTCAGAGTAATTATATATTTAAATTAGTAATTATAGATATAATTATGATTATAGAGATAAATATTATAATTATAATTACAAAAAAATAATTATAAAATTAATCATAATTAAAAATATAATTACATTTACAATTGTATCTGTATTTATAATTAGTGTAATTGGTATAATTATTATAATTTTAAATTTAATTTTAATTATTATTTTTTTATAATTATGATTATAATTGTAATTTTATTTAAGTTATATTTTTAATTACAATTATAAATCTAATAATTATAATTATAATTAGAATTATAGAAATATTCAAATCAGATCAGAAAGATTCAGATCAGAAGAATTCAGATCAGATCAGAAACATTCAGATCAGATCAGAAAAATTCAGATCAGATCAGATCAGATCAGCAACATTCAGATCAGTTCAGCAACGTTCAGATCAGA